GAGTATGTTGCACATGTGTTCCTCGACTGCGTCGCTTGAACATATGAATATATATATATATAGATATAGATATACATATTATATTATATTATATTATATTATATTATATTATATTAGATTATATTATATTAGATTATATTATATTATATTAAACTATATTAATGCGCGCGCATATGCACATACATATGTGTATGCATGTGGTACCGAGTACAGCGAATGAGGGAAGATGTACAATTCCGGAAATACATAGTACCAGGTAAAACCATGTATGTATGTATGTATGTATGTATGTATGTATGTATGCATGTGTGTATGTATGTATGTAGGTTAGTAATTAAGTAGGTAAGTAGGTAGGTAGGTAGGTAGGTAGGTAGGTAGGTAGGTAGGTAGGTAAGTCAGGGAGGGAGGGAGGGAGGGAGGGAGGGAGGGAGGGAGGTAGGTAGGTAGGTAGGTAGGTAGGTAGGTAGGTAGTATGTTTATATGTCTCTCTGATTTTTTGGTTTGTATAAAACATAGGATATGCACATGCTGACTGTGCTATAAAGGTTTAGCCAACAGACGCGACTGGACGTCCCTTGGTCCTGCAGATAAAGGGGGGGCATTAATACTTAGAACACGGTTTTGGGCTGCTGCGTAGTGTTATTATAATAAGGAACCCCAAGGAATAATATTGGGCATTATTTGTGCTTCTATATTACGGTCCTTCTGCAAGTGCCTCATCAGGTAGATTCCTGTTGCCACCCCCCTGCGGTGCTTCTTTTCTTGGTAGTCATGCTTCGACTTTCTTCGCATGGCCAGTCAAACCTTGCCATTCAAGGTTCAACATCAAGAACCCCATAATCATAGGCAACTTGGGTTTAAGGGTTTTGGTCGGACTGCTCGTAATCGTGACTGATGGCTAAGAGCCTATCAGAAGCAACATCGCTGGACAAAAGGGCAACAACAGCACGCATCAAGACCCCTCACTTGGCAAGTTCACCCCCGCTACGCCGAAACCCTGCAAAACTAAACTCGAAACCCTAAACCCCGTTGTGAACCCTAAACCCTAAACCCTAAGCCCTAAACCAAACCCTGCAACCCTAAACTCGAAACCCTAAACCCCGTTGTGCTCTAAAGGTGCGATGGATGCAGGCGAACGTCTCCTCCACGGTTTCCTGGTCGGCTTTCGGGCAAGCTTTCACACCCCTTGCTATCCAGCAACTACAGGGACCTGAATAAGTGGAGAAATAGAGTTTAGGGTTTAGGGTTTAGTGAGTGTGGAGATTCGGGGTTATGGCCTAATGTTTATACAATCATAAGGGTATTCGAAGAAAATCAGGATAAGAGTTTGGTGGTATACCGGCATCTGATCATCTGTGTACTACAAGTGCTCGAGAGCCACCCTGAACCCTAAAACCCTAAAGCCCTGCATCCAAAATCCTGGAAAGCCTAAACACAAAAAGGGTCCCATTCTTCCTGTCAGTGGAAATCGACGGCAAGAATACCCGGGGCTTCCTTAATGACTTTAGTGGGGCTTGGGGCCTAAACCCTAAATCCTGTAACCCTAAACCCCTAAATCCTGAAGCCCTAAACCCTAAACCCCGACCCTAAACCCCTAAAACCGCCAAGAAACAGAAACAGTAGCTACTCTGCATAACAGGTCATGTTCAGTCAAGGCAGCGACCCTCTTCCCGAAAGTCAGGAGCAGAGGTCCCTAAGCCCTAAGCCCTAAATCCTGCACCGGCTAGAACCCTTCATGGAACCCGGATTCCATAGCTGAGGGCAAAAGTATCACACTTCTGCAACCCTAAACAAGACGCATGAGACCCTGTAATTACCCGTATGCATCCCCTACTAAAAACCTGAAACAAGCCTCAAGAACCCCCAAATCACCAGGGTGACCGAAAGCATTGCTGCGATCGCCCCGAGCCACCAGGGATGCTGGCAAAGGGGGACACGAGTCGCCCCACTGGTCCCAAGCCTCAGGGCAACAACAACCAGCAAGGTTTGGGGTTTAGGGTTTGGGGGTTTAGGGGTTTAGGGGTTTAGGGTTTAGGGGTTTAGGGGTTTAGGGGTTTAGGGGTTTAGGGTTTAGGGGTTTAGGGCTTAGGGGTTTAGGGTTTTGGGGGCCCATTATACTATAGTTATCATAAGGAGCCCCCAGCGGAGTATTGGTAATGATTTAGGCCCCTATATTACTTTCCCTTTTGTTTTTGCTTGAGATGCGGCTGGGGTTGGTGTTCAGGGTTTAAAGTTACAAGAAGAACAACAACATACAGCCCAAGGTTTTCCATAAGGGTTCGTATGAAGCTACAAGTCTTACTATACCAAGAACAGTATTTAGAACGCAAAGAGGAAGAGTAATATCAGAAACTACTAAAACTTCATAAAGCCTGTGAGACGTGAACTAGCCAGAAGACGTGTGAGAGCTGCCGAAATCCAAACCAAACGCTGCAGAACCTGCACACTCGATAAATAGATGAAGCCGAGTCCCACATGGCAAAAACCTGAGGAATGTCCCTTAAGCCATGCCGACAAACCCTGTGTAACGTCAGGTCGTATGTTCCGTTCCCTGTAACCCCAAACGCAAAGCCCTGAATCCTTAATGTAGGGGCCTTAATACTTGGAATGGGGTTTTGGGGCCCATTATACTAATACTTATCATAAGGAGCCCCCAAACCAATATGGGTAATTATTAAGGCCCCTATATTAACCCTTAGACCAAGATGCATCCTCAGCCCGCACATGAAGTCCGGTGAGAAGAAGCGAAAGGAACCGCGCACGCATTGAAACGGCAGTCCAGGGACGCGGTTTAGGGTTCAGGGTTGAGGGTTCATTTAGGCTGGTCGGGCTATATAGCTTATAAAAAACGAAACCTTTCATATCCCAAAACCCTACTCCAGTTATTGAAGCCCTATATGACCTTAACTAGGGCTTTGAACTTTTTTTGGAGGGTTTTGGGCTTCAGGGGGCAACGGTTTCCGAAGGTGCAAACATAAATCCAAGGGTATGGGGCTTTTGAGGTGTCTTGAGTTTCCTACACGCTTTTGCAGTGGGTGCTTTTCTGGCTTCAGAAGTCAAGGGCGCCCTAAACCCTAAACCCTAAACCCTTAACCCTAAACCCTAAACCCGACTTTCTTACAGGGTGTTGCTCTGCAGGTTTCGACAAGCGCATCTATCTCCGAGCGAAAAGGCTTCCATGATGAGGATTACGGGGCTATATTTAGGGTTTAGGGTTTAAAGTTTAGGGTTTAGGGGTTTAGGGTTTAGGGTTTAGGGTTTATAAAGCTTTTTTTGTGGGTGTTTAGGGTTTGGGGTTTGGGGTTTGGGGCCTGAAGAGTTCGAATAGGATTTTGGGGCCCCTTATACTAGAATTATAATAACCCGAAACTCCTAAACCCTAAACCCTAAACCCTTATACTAGAATGATAATAACCCTAAACCCTAAACCCTAAACCCTTATACTAGAATGATAATAAGGGGCCCCCCCAAAGTAGTATAGGTCCGGATTCAGCACCCTGGCTACGAAGTCCAAGCCTGACATGCATGGCGAAGAGCAACAAACAAGACCAAGAGAAACAGTGCTGGTTTAGGTTAGAGTTTAGGGTTTAGAGTTTAGGAGTTTAGGGGTTTAGGGTTCAGGGGTTGTAGGGTTTAGGGTTTAGAGTTTAGGAGTTTAGGGGTTAAGGGTTTAGGGGTTTAGGGTTTAGGGGTTTAGAGTTTAGGAGTTAGGGTTTTAGGGTTTAAGGTTTAGGGCTTAGGGCCATCATGGGCACAGCGGCAGCGGTAACCAGCCCTAACAGTAGCTTCAGGCAGTCTAAGCCAGCGAAAGCTATGGGGAGAAAGTGCGAAGATGGGCTCACAGGAAATGAGTGCATTTGGGCACACACGTTTCACGGCCTCTTGTTATCCAGGCTGACCCCTGTTCTGAATGTCAGTTCGGCACGACCCAAACTGGGGATTCCTAATTTCGGACTGCCAAAGTTTTTTCACAAATTGAAAACCTCAAACCATAAAACCCGAACGGCCGTAGACCCGAAATCGTATTTTTCGGGCGCGATGGTGATGTCTTCCGTGCGTCTTGCCGCTGCCAGGTGGGCCTTTAGCATGAGCCTCTTCCTCGGTTTTTCAGGGGTCTAGGTTGCAGGGTCGAGGGCCGCAGCTATTAGTGATTTGGATGTTATGAGGTTCCTATGAGGGCTCCTTCAGGAATAGTTGAATGCTACTATAAGGCTTAAGGCCACGGGCTTGGCTTAAGATTCTGTGTTCGATGTCTGATCGTCGCAGCTTTCCCGTGGAAACGTTCATCTCGAAGAAGGGGGCTTGACATCTGAACATGGAGCCCTGTCTAGGCCACCTCGCCACCCAAGTGCCCTTGTATGTCAAGAAATAAAAAACAGGAAGAAAGGAAGCCTACACCCTGAATCCTAAACCCTAAACCCTAAACCCTAATCCCTGAATCCTAAACCCTAAACCCTAATCCCTGAATCCTAAACCCTAATCCCTAAACCCTAAACCCTAATCCCTGAATCCTAAACCCCAAGGGTTTCGGAGCCCTCTTGATAGGGGCCTGGGAGCTTGTTTCAACCCTGCACCAGAATCGGAGGTGAGGCCGTCCAAAGCTTCAACCTTCTTCACAACTAATAGCAACGACAACAGTAGAGCAATATTAAAAAGAATTCAGAATAGAAAGAGTAATTGTAATAGCAATGTTGATAGCAATAATGATATCGTAATACTAATCCTACCGTTTCTCAACACCCGCTGCCGAAGCACGACCCCGCTCAGCTAGTATTCATTGAAGCTGGGGAATTGAAGTTGGGGGGCTCAGGGTCCCTAAACCCCAAACCCTAAACCCAAAGCCCTGAACCCTAAACCCTAAACCCTAAACCCTAAACCCTGAACCCTGAACCCTAAACCCCTAAACCCTAAACCTTAAACCCTTAACCTTAACCGGCTAACTTCTCATCTGTTTCAGGCCCAGATTTCAACAAGCGAAGCCAGAGAGCCCCAATACCCTGCAATTAAGAGATATGCCTTAAGCCGGTTTAGGGTTCAGGGTTTAGGGTTTTGGTACCTTGAGCCATAAGGGGCTTCACATGATGACTGCCTCAACCGATACGGTTCTTTCTATGACTACCTTCAACTAGTAAGGCGCTTCTTCACGGGGGCTTCACATTATGACTTAATTAAGCCATACTCTTTAATAAAAGAGTCTTGGGCTCTGTGGGAAGAAGCAGCGCTTCACTCCCCAGCATCTTCCAAAATTCAAGGCCAACGCTCCAAGGAACCCTCCTGAACTACAAAGGCCCGTTCGGCAAAATGCCGGATGCCAGTTTGGAAACGAACAAACGTGGGACCGCATAGAGGAGGGACAAGTCGAAGAAGCGCCCTTGATACGGGGTGGGGGAAGAACCCCTAAACCAACCCCAAACTCCCTAAACCCTACATAAACCCTAAACCCTAAACCCACCCCAAACTCCCAACCCACACCGTGAACTCCAAATCCACAAACCCGAACCCGAGGCCAAAGCCCGAAAGCCCAACAGAGAGGCATGACTACGTTGAGGAGGGTTTTGGTTTTGGTTTAGGGTTTAGGGTTT